CACGCATTAAATTCATAACAATTTCCATTTATGATATTTCAAGCCGTTGGAAATTAAACAAACCAATAATATCATTAAGCTCCAACATGTCATGATAAAAATATGTATATTCATTTGCAAGAGCAACATATGAAAGTAATCAGGTTAACACTATTTTTTTTTATTATTCACATGCTATTAATATAAATAGTCTACTATTCAAGCATGTGCTAATAATCATATTAGGATCTAAAAACTCATACCTACGGTTGACAAAATAATAGGATTTTCCTCATTGAGGACATATGCCAAATTTAACAAATTAAGATAATATAAAACTTTTCCTTTCCATCTTTTGAAGTGCTCATCGTTAAAACGAAAAGGCATGTTAAGATCATTAACAAGCTTAACAGGTTTTTCACGAGGTAAACTCATTTTTTTTTTTTAAAGAAATTTTCTTTCGAAACGTCCTAAAATTGTTGTTCCTCGTAAAAAATAAATAGAAAAGAAAATAGACAAAAGAATAACAAAAAAACAATTAATTAAAGATGAAAATAAAAAGTAGAAAGATGTCACCGAAAGTATGAGGAGCTTGAGCTGAGGCGTGGATCAATCACTCTCTTTAGGACGTTTCGTGCCACTGGTGCAGCAGATTTTTATGGTCACGCCGCCCCCAGGATACAACAGCCCAACCTCCTTGTTGTATCTTTACAAGTACTGCACTCTTGTAAAGAAAGCTCTACCCCACCACCTTTTCCTTGCCTAAAGAGAGTTGTATATTGTGTTTGTGAAATAAGAGTGCAGATCAAAAAATTGTGTTCAGCCTTTGGTAGAAATGGAGTCTACCTATTTATAGGCTTTCCAAATTTTAACTGAAGCTTATTGCTTTAAGACATTTGAAAAGCAAAAACGCATTAGTTCTTTCAATAAGACAAAAACGCATGGATTCAAGAAACCGATGAAACAGAAAATATTCTTTAAATAAATGGCTATTACCATTTGATTCCTTCATTAAAATATAAGCTTGTAACTGTTGCTGGTTAAAAGCAAAATTAAATAATGAATTTGTAACCATTGGAATAGAACTATCGGTTACAATTTTTTTTTTTAATTAAAATTTACAACAAATGGCACATAAGTATTAAACCAATAACCAAAACTTCTAAACACATTATTACATTGTCCAGGGCATCCTAAAGTTGGATAAGTACAATGGCCCACAGAACACATCCTTAAAGCAAAGAAATATTTAGGTAGCATTTGATTGGATTAAATATAGATTCATATATAGCATCCTAAGAAGAAAGAAAGAAGGGGGGCTTAGGAATGCTTCAAAAAAAATACAGCAAGACATGATTTTCCAACATTCAAGTTCAGTTATCTCTCTAAGGTAAAATAAGTTAAATAACAGAATAAGAAATTTAAAAACAAAAGGCACATAAGTATTAAACCAATAATTAAAACTTCTAAACACATTATTACATTGTCCAGGGCATCCTAAAGTTGGATGGTAAGGCCAAAAATTAGTCCAATCCTAGGCAATGGAAAAATACAAAAAGGAAAGAAAATTGAACGAGGCAAACGGCTAATTACAAAAAGGAAACTAATCAAAACTAACGGCTACGTGATTGATGATGATCTTGTTTCCTTTTCTAATTAATACCTTCAAACCAGAAAGTTCTCATTTTC